ATATACTATCTTGCTTAATACTCCTCCAATCCTTAATATAGGACCTAATTTTTGAGTTGATTTTGGTCCTAAATATAAGATCTATTTCTGATATTTATTAATTTTTCCTAAATTACTCTTACAAATACTTCTTCAACTATAATCAAGCAGAATAGAGAGGAAATATATTAAGAAAGATGATTTTGGTGTTTTATAAAAAACAAGTTATATTTCTTATAATTAAATAACTTACTTAACTTCCCTAATTTCATCAAATTAGTTAAATAGATCTTATATTAAGGATTGGAGGAGTATAAGAGTTAGTTGATTAATTTGAATAAAGTAAGAAAATTTGTTAAATTAATTATTTGTAATAAATAGCTGTTGTCTTTTTTATAAACCCTTACTAATCATATATATTAGTTAAAGCTATCGTTTAATAAAACATTTAATATAAGCAACTACTATAAGAATTACTTGAAAAAAATAGATAAATATATAAGAGTTAAAGTGGACTGGGGTCTTCTATTTGGAATCAAATTAAAAGTCAAATTAACTTTTATATTAAGGACTATAAGAGCTAGTTGATTAATTTAAGTACATTAAAAAATTTGTTAAATTAGTTTTTTTGCAATAAACATGTGTTATCTTTCTTAAAATACTCTTGCTATTCATGTGTATTAGTTAGAACTATTATTTTATGAAACTTTTAACATGCATGTGCACTACTATAAGAACTATTTTGAAAAAAAAAGGATAAATATCATAGATAAAACTGGACCGGGGTTTTATATTTAGGACTAAAATGAGAGTCAAACTAACTCTTATATTAAGGACCGGAAGTAGTATTTATTATACACCTAATAATAATTTGGGAAAATCTAATAAAAAAATACCTCTTGAATTTCAAAATTCTAAATCAATCTTGTTTGGTACACTTTAATAGTAATTGACTATACTTGAAAAGCAAATGATAATATGTTTTTATAGTAATTCTTGATTTGATATTTTGAAATTCAAGAGACATTTTTTTAACAGTTTCCCAAATAATTTTGTATAAATTAATAAAATTAGTGTCAATTAGTTACTTCTTATAAAATATTGAAATTATTCTCAATAAAAGTCACTAATAAGAAGAGTCTAGTTAATTAGGTAAGAGTTTTCTAATTAATTAGAGATGCTATCTGGAAATTCGAAGCTTTAGACAAAAAATGTTATACAAAGAAACGTGCTAAAAGTCTTCATGGTGGGAATGAGTATAAAAAATTTAAATTTAAATGGTACGGATAGAAATGATTATATTGGGAGAACTATCATTCATTATTGGATCTACTAACGAAAAGCTGGATAATTGCATAAAGTTTGAATAATTTATACTCCTCAAGTCCTAAATGTAAGACCAATCTAACTATTTTGATTAGATTGAAAAATTTAGATAAGTTAGTTAATTATTAAAAATATGATTTTTTTTTTCTAAAACACCATAATTATCTTTCTTAATATCCTGCTCCTCTCCTATTTGATTATGGTTAAGAAAATATCTATACAGGTAATTTAAAAAAATTAATAAATATGAAAAATAAGTCTTATGTTTAAGACCAAATCAACTCAATAATTAAGTTCTATATTAAAAACCAGAAGAGTATTATTTATAGTTCATAAATTGTATAATTTGCTCTACTAATTATTCAATTCTTACTCATTTTTATAAGTATATTTTCATGCACGGATTAAGTAATGATTCTTAAAATTAATAGCAAATAGTTAAAAATTGCAGAATTTTTTTCATAGAAGTTCAATGATAAGATGTTTGTTGTTAAACATGCAAACAATCTACTTTGGACAAGAACAATTTTTGACATTTATGCATGAATGTATTCCATATGAAAATGACAATTGAAGACGAAAAAAGAGAGAATGATTAAATTAGTATTTATAAACGCGTAGTCCAATTTAATTTGTAATGTTTGATGATGGAAAATGATGACTGTTCTCCTTAATAATTATGAACCACACGTTGAAGAGAGATTTCTAGTTGGCAATGGCACGCCACCACTTGTGATAGGGACCCCAACACGATTCAGTTACCCTATCTGATTAAGTCTATCTACCTCTCCTCATTCATCTCCAACCTAATTTAATTTATTCCCACAACCTAAGAGATTCATTATTAGCCAAAATAAAAAACTACGGGTCATGAATCTTATCTCATTCTTGCGATAAAAAATGACATGATTGATGATACTGTAAAAAGAGAGGTAAATATACGAAGAAAAAAGGGGTTTCATACATGTCAAGTGAATCCTACCCCACCCGTGTAATTATTTCTATATTTATCACATCTATCTCTCTTTTTGTAATATCAGGTTGATGTATCAAGGAGTCTTTTCTCCTGTAATAGTTATGTAATTGAGAAGTGTTGGGCGTCATATATCTTTTAGTTCCCTGACTTTTAACTCAGACATTGATAATTCTAGTCGGTCTAGCAATCCTTCCCCTAGTCCTTGACCATTATAAGAAGAAGAGGAATATTTTCTTCCCTTCTTTTTTTTGGCCATTGGCCTCGTATGTTTGCATGGCAATCCAATTCAAAGATTTCTTTAGAAAAGAGGATCAAACTCAATGCACTTTCTTGGTCCTTGTTGAGAAACGCTTTTTTATCTTCCTCAAGCTTCTCTGGTGGGAATCATAAGGTGATTGAGTGAGGCATATCTTTTTTACTAAAACCTTTTCTTTTATCTCTTATGAACTCGTGGATATTCCTACTTTCTATTTTTTTTTTTAATCCTCTCGTCTTTTTTCGTTTTTTTTCAATGATATAACTGTAGCTTTTATATTACTATCATTTAATCATTTTAAAAAAAATCCTCGTCATAAAAGTGTAAATTGAGTTTGTATGAGTTTAGAAGATTAAAACAGACCTCAAGTTTTACCCCAAAAAAAAAAAAACCTCAAGTTGAAGAGGCTCGCAAGAGTACTGATAAACTCCACATAATAATAAAATTCTCATCGAATTGGCATGAGCATTGGAACCCACATTTTTATAAAATATGAATAGTGTTATTACATTGAGATCAACCTTAATTAGGGGTGATGAAACTTGTGTAATGCACGACACTTTTCCATAGCGTTTGATAAAGATAAATTTTATTTTTGAAAATCACACTCAGGAATGTGATTCAAAGGAATTATTGTGATTTTAAGAAATATATTAAGAAAATTGTTTGGTTTCTCTTCAGTGTCCCTCATTATCATTTAGAACCGTTCAAATTAAATTTTACCAGTATAGATTAATTTATACTTTTAAAGGCTATTAAATCTAAATCATCAAATTCAATCAAACGACTTTAAGTTGTAGTGGCCTCTTCACTTAGTCGAAATAAGCCACTTTCCATTTGGTTTGTCTAAAATATTTCATCATACTATGCTAAAAATATTACATTTTCATGTATTTATTTTATTTGGGTCACAACATTCTTAAATAGATATCTTTTAAAAAAAGCTTGTTCAAATTTTATCATTAAACTAATCAAATTTCAACTCTAATCACTACACCAACCCAATTCCACCCAACTTTTATATCCTAATGTCAAGTGTCTTAAACCCTTAATCATTTAAATAGTGCCATGAGTTTTTAATTCCAAAAGGTCATTCGCAGAGAATAATAGTTTCCGGGGAACATCCAATTATGAGAGTCCTCATTGGAGGACACTATGATTGTAAATGATGATTAACCAAGGAAAAAAATGTGAAAGTTTGGTACTAGCTAATGACACAACTTCAATTAATTAAATATTAAAACCAATTAATTAGCATATTATATAACTCACCAAATGAAATATTTTTATGTTGTACTACTAAATGTGTTTTCATTCTATATATGGTTCTCTCTATATGTGGATGCTTTTGCTTTGGGAATAAGTATAGAAATGATAGGTGGAGTGATAACAAATGAAAGATTGACAAAAGGATTTGAAGACAATAACACATGCTTTGCTGCTTGGGATTATCATGAAGTTTATTTCCTTTAAATATTATCAATATAGGCACCTATTATTTTTCAATGTCACTATATTTCAGAGTAAGGTCTCCCAAGAAGAGACAACAAGAAAAACAATATTTTACGGAAGTTTTGTGGATACTAGTTTACCATGAGTTTTAAAAACAATTGAGAAAACTTATATTTGGCTATTTGAAATTTCTAGCCAGTTACATTGTTTACAGGTTGTAAATGTAAATAATACACAAATTGTTACTCAAATATAATTGAGCGTAGTGCTCAGAGGTCAGAGCCCATCAGATCTATTCAAAAGAAAGACAGATATTCATTGTACTGCAAAACTACTAGTACTTTTAAGAGCCAGATGATCATTTGTTCATGTATACGAAAGATGACAAGCACAGAATTGGGCCAATCAACCAATTTCAGCATACATCCTTTTAACCAAAAGAGAACCGCTGGGTATATTGGAGTAAAGCAAAGAAGGTCTAACAATACCAAAATTGTAGGATTAGCAGGATATTGCAAGAGAATGACAGAAAGGATAATATAAACTATACACTACTAGGTGGGGTTTTAAGTTAAATAAATAACAGAAAGTGCTATAGGCACAGGAAATTAATTATGTTTTAAGCAATCACTAAGTCTTTCAGTGAGACGCTGAAGCTTGATGAGGCTCTACTCTTTAAATTATAACTGAGATCTACGATCTTTGGCTTAGTCAAATAGTGAAGGGTTAATTTTCCTGTCGATCCTTTTGAGGTTCATCTCCAACATCATAGATGGCTGCTCCTTTTGAATCATTCACATAACAAGTCTCAACATATTCATATGTTCATGGTTTGAAAGCACATTAAAAAATTGTCACACTCGTTCAAGCAAAGGCTTATCCTTAAAAGTATGATACACCAGATAAGCTTAAAATTCTTCTGATAGATTTTTGTCTAATACAATGCTGAGAAGACATAAAATGGTAGTCGTAGTGATGTTTTAGCATGGAGGAAAAAAAAATCCTTGGCCAGAACATTTTCTTTTAGTTTCAATGCCAGCTAGTTGCTGCAGTTATTCACAAAGATTAAGAGAATCATAACAGTCTAGATCTGACTTGTGAGGGTAATAGGCTGATGAAGAAAAAGATAAGAAAATAAGCTACAAAGATAGGGACTATATAGAATAGATAGTTGATTATAATCATCAATATAGATCAGCCAAATCAAAAGTTCTAGAAACAGCTTTACACCAAGACTCTGCCTTCTTCTTCCTCAGTTCTTCATCTAACTTGGGTATAAAAATCGTGGATCTCCTTCGCTTCTCATCTGAAGCAAAAATCTCATCTTCTGTCCATACACCAACGGCTAATCCCGCAGCATATGCTGCACCTAGTGCTGTTGTCTCTATATCAGCTGGTCTAACCACAGCACTTCCCAACAAGTCTGCCTGTACGCCATTAACGACAATAAAAAGATCTAAGGAAATTTGCTGCTTGCTCATTTTGAAGAATACTATTGGTTACTAACAAGGACTAATAACATGACAAATGCCAAAAAAGTTTATCAGTTCATTGTGATCTCACGTTCTATGGTATATATCTCGTATAGTTGAATTCGTTAGGTTCTAAGATATCAAATATGGCATTCAAGACGTTCACATGAGATATTATAATGGAAAGCTACTATTTTTAAAAAAGGATACAAGAGATAAAATTAAGCAAACAAAGTTGAACAAGATGTTAAGTGAAATCTTCAGAACTTGTAGGTGGTATGAATTATGAAATACACTTAGACAAAAGACAGAGATCAGGAGATGTTTATTTAAAATCAGCTAAAAAGAGATAACTTTAGAATAGTTAAAATGGAAACAGTTCAAACCTGAGTCTGCATCAAAAGATTGTTAACAGCTGCCCCACCATCAGCCCTCAGCAAAAACTCCTTCATTTTTTCCTCACTTGAATCCTTGTTCATTGAATCTAAAACATCGTTCACTTGGAAACACATGCTCTCAAGCACAGCTCTAGCAATGTGAGCTTTGTTTGTAAATCTTGTAATCCCAATACAAACCCCACGAGCATCATCACGCCACCATGGAGCAAACAGGCCATTAAAAGCCGGAACAAAGTAGAGCCCCCCTGTGGAGTCAACCATTGATGCTAATTCCTCTACCTCATTAGCACTCTTAATTACTCCAAGACTGTCTCTGAGCCACTGCACTGCAGCTCCAGCAATAGCTATTGATCCTTCCAGAGCATAGTTTGTTTGAGCTTTGGGACCAAGCTTGAAGGCTAAGGTGGTAAGAAGACCATGCTTTGATCGAACTATATTTTGGCCAGTATTTTTGAGTATGAAAGCACCTGTGCCATAAGTGCATTTAGCCTCACCATTAAGGCAAGCTTGTCCAAGCATTGCAGCATGTTGATCTCCTAGACATCCAGAAATTGGGATACCGGCGATTGGCCATCCAGTAGAGACTTTTCCTATGACTTCAGAGTTACTTACAATTTTAGGGAGGATTTCTGCTGGAATAGAAAGGGTTTTCAATGTTGGTTCATCCCAGTTAAGGGTTTTGAGATTCATGAGCATTGTCCTTGATGCATTTGAAACATCAGTGAGATGCAACCCACCATTCAACCCCCCTGTTAAGTTCCATATCAACCAGGTGTCTACAGTTCCAAACAGAGCATCTCCTTTCTTTATAGCCTCCTTGACCGCACCCACATTCTCCATTAACCATAAGAGTTTAGTGGCACTGAAGTATGTACTTATGGGCAAACCACAAGTTTGCACAAAATGGATTCTACCACCAGGCAAATCCTGCTCCAATTTTCTATTCCAAAATAAAAAGACCCAACCATTCTGAGAACAAAAATTAATGAAATGCCACCCAAGAAAAAAACAGACAAATCAAGAAGAGGAACGTTACATAATGATTCAAAATTTGACCTCATTAAACATGGACAAAAAGACAGTAAGACAAGTCAGACTAATAATTTATACATGTACAAACGGTCATGTACTAATAATTCATTAAACATCACCCTCATTCGTATATAATATTCTTACTATGCGTGTCATAAATGAATCCTAATATTTTAAGCTTTAAATTAGCCCCAGTGCGATATACTTCCAAAGAAAAAACAACTGTTTTTTTTTTTTTTTTTGGTTCTTCTTTCTACTTTCTTTTGGTCTTGTTCCAATTTTTGGAACCACCACTAGCTATTATCCAAGCCATGTAATGTTCATTCTGATACGTGTTATATGTGTTAACAGTATATTAAAATGGCACAACTCTGTCACGGAAACACGCATGAAAATAAGTGCGTTCCTCCTTTATAAATTGCATGAGAACATTTTGCAAACAACTTCAGCGCAAAAAGAAGCAGACAAGCACCTGCAAACAGAACTGGAACGAGCATCCATCCAAACAATGGCGTTGTAGAGAGGAAGACCAGTTGATTTGCTCCAAACCAGAGTCGTCTCTCTCTGATTGGTCAGACCAATACCCTTCAATCCTTTATCCACATTGAATCCATTAGCCGTCGCCTTGTCCAGCGCCTTCGCAATACACACCCTAACGCTCTCCAAGATCTCTGTTGGATCATGCTCCACCCATCTACCACACCAGATTATTCATCAGAATGAGCGACTCTATAAGCCAAAAAAAAAAAAAAAGGGCGGAGAAATCTGAAACAGAAACAACCATCATTGCTTAATTACTTACCCTGCTTTTGGGTAAAACTGAGTGAACTCGACCTGGTGCGATCCGATAACATGAGCCGAGCGATCGTAGATCATGAACCTAGTGCTGGTAGTTCCTTGGTCAAGTGAAGCAATGAACACTTCCTTGTCCGCCATTTTCTTATTGTTTTTTCCTTCTTCTACCTCTAAATGTTCGTGCTGATATACATTTCACATTTGCCAGTAGGAAAACTTTGTTATGGGAATTCAAGTTTACGCATTAATTAGCAGACAAAGAAGGTTTGGACGTAACGTACAAAGAAGGATTCTAAACGATTTTTATGAAATTAGGTTGCAGCTGCAAAGTGGGTAATCGGTAAACTTAGAAATCTAATCCATATAATATAAGTATGTAACGAGGAAAGAAAAGTACAGGCCGAGAGCACAAGAAGGAGATAAAATGAATGGCGTAATGACTCCGAAAGGGTCGCCATAAAAGCCGCTTTCGACGATTTAATGCCACGTGGCTCTGTGCCCTTTAGACCGTTATGATAGCTAGACTTTCCCTCTACTTCACAAGCTGCGTTTTGTGAAGCTTGCTTCTGCGCGTCTTTAGTAGCATATTTTCATATTCCAAAAAATTATTGCATTATTTAGGGAGAATTACAAAAAAAGACCAATAGGGACTGATATTCATAGAGAGGATCATAAAAATTAAAATTATTTAAAAATTCTATATTCTCTCCTATATTTTATTTTTAAAATTACTACGAATTAGTAAATTTTAATAAATTAAATCAGATTTCTTTTTTTTTTTGATGACGAGCAGCAGAAAAATACTAAGCTACATTAGACACCACAAGATTAACAACAAAATCAAGAGGAGACTAAAGAAAGCTTGTTCCCTCAGCAACACTCATGGAGTTTTTGGCTAATATGTCAGCCACCATATTTGCATCCTGACCACACCACGCTAAGCTTGCATCCCAATCCTTTCCAAGCCATCCTTGAATCTTAGCAAGAAGATCCTTTTCCAAGTGGTCATCATGCCAGCCCGTGTCTAGAATATTTACAAGCTCTCGACAATCAGTTTTGATGACGACCCATTTCCAATTCATATCCCATGCTCTTTTTAGACCCCAAAACATAGCCTAAGCTTCCGCATGAAAACTATTGTCTTTGCTGATATGAAACATAAAACCATCAAGCCAATGCCCTTCGTCATCTCTAGCCACACTACCACATGCTGCCACCAAGTTCCCATTTCTAACTGCTCCATCGACATTGTATTTGACACATCCCACCAAAGGTGGTTGCCATTTGCAAGTCATCCGTGCTTGAGTAATAGAGCCATTGGCACTAGCATTCAAACACACAATAATGGACTTTGACTAGGCAATAATAGAGAGACTTCCCTTTGATTTCCGATTAAAAACCCCATCGTTCCTATTCAACCAAATTTGCCTAGCTAAGACAGCAAACCAAGTGCACCAAGGGATTTTTGAGACTCTGTATTTTAGACCACTATTCCAACTAATCCATTCTATGAAATCCCTACTATCAAAGAACTTGAGCTTAACCTGGTTAGGCACAAGTGCTTCCCAACAAGCACATGCTATTTGACAATCACGCAATGCATGAAGCTAGAGCCGATAAGATGGGTTAAACCCGCAGGTCCAAACTACTAACCCGTCAAAAATGATAGGTTAGGGTTAGCTAAAAGTCAACCTGCTAGCAAACAAAACTTTTTAACTTACATCGCATAACCCGCCATGGGCTAGCCCGCATTTTTTTTATATTTTCAAATTTTATTAATTATTATCATTATAATATTATATTTTATATCCTGTCTAAAAAAATTTAAAAAATACCAATATCATTTATTTGGTGTTTTCAATCAAATATTTGAAGAAAAAGTAAAAATTTCAATACATTTTCTTTATATTGTATAAGAAAAAATATTTTAAAATTAAAAAAATTATAAAAAAAAAGAAAATAATAGTTGGTGGGTTGGCGTCAACCCACCATAGTTGGCTAAAAGCTAACCCACCATTACATGGGCCTTTGTCAACCCGCACCTTTTGACCCTAACTCGCCATGGGCCAACTCGCAACCCGCGGGTTCACCCATATTATCACCCCTACATGAAGTGGATGTTCACATGTAGCCCCACAAAGATCACAACTCAAATGACTGTGTATCCCTCGCACGATTTGTAGATTATTTGTATGTAACCTGCCTCTCCCATAGATCCAGAGGAAGGTTTTGCATCTTTGAGGAACTGGCAATTTCCAAATCTTCCTCCATGAGTTCTTATTGCTGTTCACATTTTGGCTGTAAAGCATGTTATACGTAGACTTCATCATGAAGCTTCTATCATTAGTAAGTTTCCATCGTGGACTGTTAGATGAACTCTAAGTAGTTGAAAGAATATTAAAGCTCTTCAAGATTTGAATGGGGAATGGCGCTATGATCTTATAATAAGGCTGCAGATTCACACTTGGGTGACATTAAGTGCCCTTATTCCTTGTTGATAAAAATCCCAATGTACAATGGGATAATCTTTGACCTTCTTAAACAACTTAGGTTGTTTTCACTCACCAAATCATCTTGTGGTTTGGTTTATCAAGGGATAGATAGCATTTCTATTAAGTTAGTTATGATTAAGTTAAAGAGTTTGTTGTGTATTTTTTTTTTATTTTCATTCCCAAAATATTTAGTTACATGATATCAGAGTTAGGTATTGAGACTCCTAAAATTTGGGAACTCCTCTTATGAAGATTTAGGGGCATTGAACTTCAATGACCCAAGTAGGAAAAAAAAGGGGACATTATCACTGTTTCGAAGAGGAACTTTACAGTTTTTAAAATCTAAACAAAAATAGGGATGTTTCTTGTATATTATTCAATGGCTACTTATCATGTGTGTTGTTTTTTAGATTCATTTTCATTTTCATTTTCAAAATATTTGGTTAAATGGTACTCCTCCGGTCCTTATTATAAGACCCCATTTGACTTTTTATTTGGTCCTAATTATAAGACCCCAATCCATTTTGTTACTTATATTTATGTATTTTTTTCCAAGATAATCCTTCTAATAATGATAGTTTTAGCCAATATACTTAATTAGCAAGGATATTTTAGGAATAACAACACTTATTTATTACAAATAACCAACTTAACTTACTTCCTTAATCTCCTCAAATAAGTCAATTGGGTCTTATAATTAGGACCGGAGGAGTATTAGAGTTGGGTGTTGAGACTCCCAGAATTTGGGAACTACCTTGAAACACAATTCCAACTGAAAGCTCATTTTATGGAGATTTAGATTCAATGCCCCTGATTAAAAAAAAAAAAAAAGGGACATTATTGCCATTTGGAAAAGGAATTTGGCAGTTCTGAAGATCTAAACAAAAATAAGGATGTTTCTTGTATCTTGTTCGAGGGCTACTTATCATGTGTGTTGTTTTTTAGATTTGTGTTAATCCTATGAATTTATTTCTCCTATTTTAGTCAATCTACTTATAGGGTTGCATTCTATTGCTTCTGTTTCAGGAAAAGTAATACTTCCTTCTGATATTGTGTTAACTAATGTTCTTTACCTTCTTGATTTTTCTTTCAATATTATTTCTGTTTTTAGAATAATTTTTTCTCTAAATTGTTACCTCACGTTTTATTGGGTTGAATGATTGAACAAATATCACAATAAATCTTATAACTAGGACATTATTATAAACGTTTTGTCCAAGAAAATGTCAATCGCACAGAAAAATTAATGTATTGTGTAACTTCTATTATTTTTTTCTTCAACCACAATAGGTGAAACTACAAATTAACAAGAATAAAAAAACGGTACTTTTATTAGTCTTGTCACCAATGCTTTGATGATATTTTTATCTTAATATTTTAAATACTAAGTGATGGAATCCTTTAAAATAACAAATGTCATCCTCAGCCAATGGTCTGGGTACTATGGTGGCACCAAGTAACCTTACTAAAGCAAATGTCTAGGTCCCTATAAGAAGAATGCACATCAAAACAATGAAGGTAATAAGTTTGAGAGATTAAACAAACAAAAAAAGGAATGCTAAGGTATGAAAAGACGGTGAGGATTGAGAAATGAAACGATGGGATTACAATAGAATTTATGAAAAGGAGTGTTGGTCAGAAAAATAAAGTTTTATTAAGATTCAACACATATAAATAAAGAGAAAGAGAGATAAGGATTTTGCTCAAAACACTGTCAGACACAAAAATGTGAGCATCTCTCTTAATAAGAATTTAAACCATGTCATAAGTGACTAATTCTTTTCGTTAGATTCATCTAACCCTGTTTGCTGTTAGTTACATTTTTTTGTCTTTGTTTTGGTCAAATTTTTCCCCATAGTTTGACCGAAGTCCAAAGGCAACAGAGACTGAAGTGTACAATGAAATAGTAGCTGAGCCTAGGCCGGTTTCATGCCACACAAAACCCAGTTTTTTGTCCAAGTCCACAATTGAAGGCTCAGGATGATTAATACCAAAAAAAAATTCAAAATGAAAGCCCATTTATTCAGATCCTTTGACATGATCTAACGGTCGTTATTCTGCCACCTCTCCTATACCTCTTTCGCTTTACTGTGTCGCATAGGCTCATGGTCGAGTGTCTCCGCCCCTAACTCCGATCTCTTTCTTCCTCAGACTAACTCCAACCAGTCGTCGAAAATGCTCGCGCGCCTCGCTGCGAAGCATTTCAATGAGATCCGTCAAACTTTTCGCCAGGTTTGCTTCATTTTTATATCTCGAATTCGCTTTTATTTCACTTTTTAGTCCAGCCCCTAGCTGACATCTTTTCGTGATTTCGTTGGTTTTCTTTTCTTTTCTTCACCTGCAGCCGTCAAGGGCATTCTCCACGGCTCTGAACTACGTAAGTTCTCTTTATTTCAGTTTAAATTTAAAAAATTTCACCTTTTATTGCATCAGTATGTTTCATACAATGGTTATTGACTGCGTGGATCTTTACGAACTGGGCAGCACATTGACTCCCCAGATAACAATCCAGACCTTCCATGGGAATTCACGGATGCCAACAAAGAGAAGGTGATTTTTCAATGCTCTGGAGTTAAAGAATTCGAATGTTGTTTGTTGCCAGAATTGACTGGTTATCATTATGTAACTATAGAGCCTGAAATGACCCCCCCCCCAAGTCGAATGTTCTTTAATCTTACTGGTTAGGCGTTTAGGACAAAGG